GGTGGCATATTTAACCCCTTTGCCTGCTGGTTCTGATTTAATTAACTGAGCCATTGAGCAAACTCTTCCGTCTTTTTTGTGGTCAGCAAAAAATAAAAACAAACCAAAAAAACCTACAGATGTATGAAACTTGAGAGGACATATCTGCCAAGACAGCTGCCAATGTTGTCACTAAAATAAGGTAACACCACACCACTTCTGGTAAGAAGAGAAGCTGGAAATCAAAAGGTCAGCTAGCAAGGTCCAAGAGATGGAAAAGTACCAGCATACAAACCAGATTTCACAATCTCAGATTTAGACACAGATGCAGAATTCCTTCCACCATGATAATTGCTCAAGAGGGAATTATTGGGAAAATACATTCTCTGGTGCAATCAAAACACAAGGGATCAAAAGTGGTATTAATGAAAATAAAATTGGCTGTTTAGTAAACTTACTGATAATTCCTCCTTTCATGACACGGGCTTCGTTAAAGCAGTACCACTGATGGGCCCCCTTCTCTAAGGTGCTGAGTGACCTCAGCATCCAATTCAGTGAATGGAAGGTAAAAACACCAGGCACTTTAGAGGATTGGATCCTAAAAGAGCAGTATTTAGTAATCTGTTAAGTACTGCTTGATTTTCCATTTGTGGAAGATAATCTCCAAGATAACAGTAGGTGTTTACAGCATTTTCAATGGCAACGGTACTTGCTGATCTCCATTAAACTTGTGCATTAGGACAGAAAAGTAGAGTAACCATTTAAAGAGAATTCTTTCAGTTGATGAAAAGAGGTCAATAGAAATTTCTTTTTCATGTCCATTACTGCTTTTTCCACTCATCTCTCAATCATCTGTGTAGTTTTAGCCCAAGAATGAATGAATACATACATGTGACGGATTGGATCACAGAAATCCCCTTTGGGACTGCCGTTGAGAGTACCGCTGAACCCATTCTTCCTGCCAGCTTGGGACTTCAGTGCCCTGCCTGTTTGGGCCAGACACACTAGCCTGCTACAAACACAGACCCAGGTCTGAACAACATCCCCCAAAAGCTGCAGGCTTAACTGAAAACAGCTTAAGAAGTGTTCCTGTCTCCAATACTCAGATGCCCAACTCCCAATGGGGTCCAAACCTCAAATAAATCCATTTTACTCTGTATAAAGCTTATACAGGATAAACTCATAAATTGTTCGCCCTCTATAACACTGATAGAGAGATATGCACAGCTGTCCCACCCTACCCCCCCCCCCCCCCCCGGTATTAATACATACTCTGGGTTAATTAATAAGTAAAAAGTGATTTTATTAAGTACAAAAAGTAGGATTTAGGTGGTTTAAAGTAATAACAGACAGAACAAAGTGAATTACCAAGCAAAATAAAATAAAACACGCAAGTCTAAGCCTAATACAGTAAGAAAGTAATTACAGATGAAAATCTCACCCTCCGAGATGTTTTAATAAGCTTCTAACACAGACTGGACGCCTTCCTAGTCTGAGCACAATCCTTTCCCCTGGTACAGCCCTTGTTCCAGCTCAGGTGGTAGCTAGGGGATTTCTCATGACTGCAACCCCCTTTGTTCCACCCCCTTATATATCTTTTGCACAAGGCGGGACTCCTTTGTCCCTCTCTGGGTTCCCACCCCTCCTTCTAAATGGAAAAGCACCAGGTTAAAGATGGATTCCAGTTCAGGTGACATGATCACATGTCACTGTAAGACTTCAAACCCTCATTCCTCCCAGCCTGACTCACAGGAAGACCTGCAAGCAAACAGAGCCATCCACAGTCAATTGTCCTCGTTGATGGAAGCCATCTAGATTCCAAACCACCATTAATGGCCTACACTTTGCATAACTACAATAGGACCTCAGCGTTACATTTCATATTTCTCGTTTCAGATACAAGAGTGATACATTCATACAAATAGGATGACCACACTCAGTAGATTATAAGCTTTGTAATAATACCGTACAAGAAACCTTTTGCATGAAGCATATTCCAGTTACATTATATTTACACTTATTAGCATATTTTCATAAAATCATATAGAATGCAACGTCACAATACATACATACACACACACACCGGCATGCACACATACAAATCAAACATTGGTTAATTTAAGTGGGAGTTGCATGGTCTGAATTGAGGGAATGAATAAGAATTTGATATAATTGCAGTTAAAGTTGTAATAGAGCTTCCAATCTTAGGCATGGTCTAAGCAATGAGACGAGGAATCAGAATGTCTTGTGATCTGATCCCAGTTCTGAAAATGAATAAATCATTTAACTTCCTTATTTCAACATCCCTATTTTGCAGTGGGGGAAGCTATAGATTTACATATTTATCTGCCTTATCGGGTTGTTGTGAGGATGAATTCATGTGCTTGTGTTGCAGATGGAGACTCTCAGATGGAAGATACTAAAGACATGAAAATTATCATCAGAAAATAGGAACATATGTTTAATTTTCAAACGGCAGCCTAATGTTTAAGTACAAATGGCTGAGAAGCCTCAAAGAGTCAAGTACCTTCTTCAAATGGAAACAATCAAGTCCTTGTAATAGTAAAACTAGGGGATTTTCTGTTAGCTGTGGAAAGATACCAGTCGTGGAAAAAATTACACTCGCCAAAACAGCACTGAGACTAAACTTAACACAAGCCACAGTATAAAAACGAAAAAGGCCTGTATTGCTTTTGCCAACTCTTACAATTTGATTGTGAGCATATGGTGTTTGTTTTATAGCCCCAGTTCCTGGAGTTTTGTTGATGATGAGAATCTCAGCTTTCATTTAAAAAAAAAAAGAAGTTTCTAGACCTTATATTTGCAGACAAGCTTGAGAACATGAACGCTGAATAGAAAAGAAACTAGAAGGAAAATAAGTGAATCCCTATTTTTTAAAAATCCCATGGTTTTTAAGGAAGATGCATGATTTTTTTAAATACTTTTGGCAATACTTTAAGCTCTTCTTTGGGCAGAAACCATGTCTTCATACAGGTTCTCAGAGCATCTCACACAATGGGCCCATGATCTTGACTGAGGCATCTGGATGCTATTGTCATATAAATAATAAATACTAAAAATAATGAAAATGATATTAACTTAACTACAAAGTAGTGGCCACACTTTGAAAGCTATTAATGGTTCTACCAATATCCCCCATTATAGGTACATGAAAATCTATCTCAAACCAGTACACACTTTAAACAAATGTGTAACCAATTTTAAGTACCGAAATAAATGGTCTGATTTTCAAAAGTGCTGAGCACCCATTGTAATAATCTTTTACAAAATACGCCTTGTGAGGTATCATTTGAAAACTAATAACTCACTGGTCAATAATACCATGATGAAATGTGTGTAGCAACATTATATGTAAAGTCAGGAATTCCCCCTGAATAATGTTGGTAGCACAGGTTCAAACCCACGTAGTCCCAATTAGGACTGGTCAAGCCAGTCTTAAACACAGAAATGTGTGTTTACCTCAGTTTACGTATAAGTTGTGAACAGGGTCCTCAGATATCAAGAGGGGGAAGACAGGAGACAAGAAAGATCTGCTTTTCAGCAAACAGAGGTGAGAAGAAACAGTGTGCGTCCTCTTTCACCGTCGTCTTCTTTACCCTTGGAATGAACTTTAACTAGGGGTAAGGTAACCCTCAGGAAAATGCATTTCAAAGTGTGACTGAACTATAAAAGTGAGGGGCAAAAACACACCAAGTTCTCTCTCCCTATCCATCTCTCTTTTTCACTTAAGACGACAAAAGAAACAGCCATTGGACTTTGGGAGCAGATCTTGGCCTGAGAGTTGGGTCAGCAATGTTAATGGAAAAACGTGGTAAGGGACTTCACCTTGAACAAAATCTAATTTGTTAAGTTTAGTACTAGGAAGCATTTTATCTTTATTTCTCTTGTAACCATTTCTGACTTTATGGCTTATATTTTTATTCAATTAAAACATATCTCCTTGTAGTTAAATGCATTTGTTTTATTAAAATTAAACCAGTGTTGTGAAATGTTTGCATAATTTCATTTAAGGTAGCAAACTGTTGTATGTTGATCCCCGTAGAAAGGCAATGGACCTAATATGTCTAGGTTGTCCAGGAGAAGGCTGGACAGTGCAGAACACACAGATTTGGGGGAAAATTGGAGACTGGGAGTATGTTTGGATCACCCGGTAATTAATTACCAAGGCTGGTGGAAGCCAGAGTGTGGCTGGTGTTTGCTGTCAGGCAGCTGGGGTCAGAGTTGCTGGACCAGAGCTGTAGCCATACACACACTTGGGGTGTGACCTGCATGCTGGCAGGCTGTTTGTGAGCGGCCCAGGTGGAAGCTACAGCTGCAAAGTATTGTGAGGCACCCCAAGTTGCAGGGCAAGTGGTGACACAGCCCCTCATTGGTCTGGATATTCCCACAAATCCCACTGGTTTCAGTATGAACTGCAGGTACATTTCAGCATCCAGGCCATCAGACCACGTGTTTAGGTGTCCAGTTATGGATTTAGTTGCCTGGCTCTAGGTACCCAAGTTTGACATTTTGATTTAAGAGGTCTTTATTGGAGGAGAAGTCTATATTACTGGGAGTACCAGCTAGTATTTGTCAGTGATCATTCCAGTGCAAACTATTTTAAGACAGATGTTAACAGCCAGATATTTCAAGAGTTCAATGCTCACAAATGGGGCCAGATTTTCAGAGGATCAGCTTCCATCTAGGCACCAAAATAAGGTGCTGTGAGAGCAGCTGGGTGCTGAATCCGGCCCTTATTTAGGTGGACTGAACTCTTGGAAGCTGAACTCTTTTGAAAGTCTGGTCCCAAATGTGGGACCACTTACAAGACTGTTTTTTCAGTAACAAAGGAAGCAATGGTGTAGAGATCAAACTAACTCCTATGTCAGCTGTTGGGTTCTGTGTCCCTCCCCAGCTCCTGCTAAATAAACTGTGCTATTAATCTGGAGGCTGAAGTCTTACGCCACCACCAAACAATGTACTGGGGATCTCACTGTAGCCTCAAAACAGGGAATACGTACCCTCAAATCTGGAGAAAAGTTGTCTGTGGAGGTGGAGACAGAATCCGATGACACAACCGAAGCAGATTTTGTATGCACTGACTGGTCCGAGTGAGAGGTGGAAGCACTACAAAGAGACAAATACACGTCAGACTTGTGCATTTCTGAGTCTAACTAAAGCGAAAAGCCTCAATTTCAAACATTTATATAAGAGAGGTTACTGTGTTACTACGGGATAAAAACCAGACAGGATCCTGAGTGCAAGACACCCCCGGCCTGACCACAGATTTACCATGGAAGCAGTGAAAATGAAAGCAGAACAAACTAAAAGTTTCTTCCATCAATTGTAACTTTGTCCCTTTGGGTTTTAGTGTAACTCTCATGCACTACAACAGCCTCTTCCCCTAGATCCTCGTACATCCCTGGTGACATGTAGCACTATTTGACAAACTATAACATCATGGCATCATCCTGTTTTTCTATATTGCCCCTCCAGTATGGCTGTGCATAAATAAAATTAGTACTGTTGCACTGTATATTCACGCTGCAACGTTCCCTATAACCTTAACAGCTTACACCTAGCATTAGCACTCTTGAAATGCTGTGCAACTGTAGCAAAAGGTCCCAATGCAGCAATGAACTCCGTATGGGTGGAACCTTGTGTCCACGTGGAGCCCCACTGACTTCAGCGGGGCTCTGTGTAGGGAGAAAGAACTTGCACACACAGCTTGCAGGGGTCAAGCCTAGCTTCAGCCAAGGGCCAAAGTCCAGCCTTAATGTCACCATCAACTGTTGTTTTAGTTGAGCACGTGACATCCCATGCTGGAAACATCTAGGTGTAGGCTTTCAGATAGGTCTGGAGACCTGTCTCACAGGTTGTTTTTTTCCCCCCTGCTACTTGACTCTTTCACTGGTAAAACAAACAAATATCAAATTACAAAAAACATTCAATTTCCCTGCTTTCAAGTCTGGGGAAATCCCACACTGGTGACATTTAAAAAAAAAGTGAGGGATTACTACAGCAAATGTGGCTCTGGCTAGGAGTAAATACTTTGGCTACAAGGATAAAAATGCAATGGTAACTTTTTATCCTACCACCAGGTGATGAATAATTATTTTCATTTGAAGTTTCAGAAATGGACTCAAGAATAAATTATTTAAAATAAGAATTTAAGACACAATTCAATGTGGTTTATTTACTGTACACCATTGGACTGCCAATCACTTCATTTCCAAACTACTTAGTTCTGGGAATTAATATACACTAAGGCAATGCTGTATTTTGGATGTCATCATAGAACCACTTGTATATCCAGTGCTTCACAGACAGTAAATGAAGCAAAGTCCTGGAAAAAAAATAATGTAAAGCCCAATCCCACAACATTCCCTCACGTAGGCATGGCCTTACTTGTGCAAGGCCTTGTCTACACAGCATGCACTGATTGGCTTATACCAGTTTAGTTAAACCAGTGCAAACCCCTTGATGGACCCTCTTAAATCAAGTTTAAGCCTGGTTTATGTCAGTTTGGCTTGCACCTTCCAGGGATATACAAAGGTTTAACTAATTTGGCTTAAAAAAATAATAATCAGACCTTTAGTTCATCTGGTGCGACTTTGTGTGTGGACAAATCCTGAGTAAAGGTTCACAGGATCAGGTCTTTATACAGACATCAGCTCACTGGCACTGTACGCACCTTGGGCACACAATGCCACCTCTTCTAACTCTCCTCTCCCACCACCTATCACAGACTCCTTCCCATCAGCATCAACATTTCAGTTATGGGAGTCATCCCCAAAAGTGTCACTTATATGCAAAAGTCCCCCATCATTAATATCACTTCCAGTTCTCTTTTCTTCAGTTCCTTGCATTTGAGTCCAGACCTATATGGTAGGGGCCAGATTCTCCACTGCCTTGCATTTTGTGTCCACTGATGCAAAGTGTAAGTAAAATGCTACCAAATCTGGCTGGTAGAGTTTTAGGCTCATTTTGCACAGGGAGAAATGACTACCTAAGGGACAAGGCAGTGGACATTCAGTTGTAAGAGCATTTCGTATTTGTTGATCATGCTTAGTCCCAAATGGTTTTTAATGCAGGTAAATGTTTGCACATTCTAAGCAAAATTTTCAAAAGTGCCAATCTATCATTGGCCTAACATCAGTGACAGCACAGCACTTTTGAAAAACCTACCCTGCATACACAGCAAACAACACTTATGACATAGCTGGATTAGGCAGCTCTGAAAAGTATACATAGGTTGCATGTGTTTGGCTCAGTGCCTCTATTCGCCTCATCAGTCATTAATACTGAACTGAAATGAAGCTAAGGAACAAACACTGACTTAACAAAGAACTTAAACTCAGTTGGCTCACGACATTCTTCCTCCTATCAGTATCAGTCAGGTTTGGGTTGACATGGCTTCACTGAGCAAACTAATTAACCTGATGTCCCTTTACACACCACATTTATTACCTTCAGTGGTTTAGCTAACCTGGAGTTCTCCTATGTGGCAAAAAAAAACAAAAACCTGAAGCCATGTGGCCTAATACTCGTTGAAGGGAAAGATAGTTTTGCGGCTAACACACAGACCAGGAATGAGAAGAACTGAGATCTGTTCTTAGGTCTGCCACAGACGTTATGTGTGATTTGGACAAATTATTTAACCTCTCTGTGTTGTCGTCTCTCCAGCGTATCAAAGTCTTTGCCACCCTGAGATTAGACCACTGTACTTGGGCCCATTCAGAAGTTGCGCTTAGGCTGGAACATGGCAAATTGCCTATCAGGGCTGGATTTCCAATTAGGTACAGTAGGCATGTGCCTAGGGGCACCAGCATTTTAGGGGTGCCTAAAAGTTAATACATACAGCTCCCCCGTGGGCAGCCAGGTTCCTGGCATGGGCTGGTGGCTGCCCAGCATGTGGGGCTGGAGCAGGATGAGCGTCTGAGTCAGCCCGCGCTGTGAGCCGCGGACGGTCAGGGCAGCTGCTGAAGGAGCTGGGAGCATCCCAGCCCTTTCCCAATCTCGCCCGCCCGCTGCCTCTGCCCCATGCACGGAAGAGAGAGGGAGGAGCGTGACCAGCAGCCTGTTCACCTGCACAGGCAGAGCCAGAGCACGGCTGCTGCATCGGGCTGCAGGAGGGATGGAAGACACCCAGGGACCATTCGCCTTGTGGAGAGGTACAGTCCCCCCTTGCATCTCGCCTGGGACAGGTGGGCTGCGCCCCAGCTCAGGCAGGGAGCACCATGCATGGCAGAGGGTCTTGTGCCTTCCTGGGGAGGCTGTGTTTATATTTCTTTTCATTTCATTTTTTACAGAAAACACAAAGGTCAGCTGTAGGCTGGGGGGCGGGAGGAGGGGGAAGAGGGAGGAGACGATGAAGAAGATGCTGTGCCTAGTGGCACATAAGGTGTAAATCCAGCCCTGCCTGGTATGTGGTGTTTTGCACCGGGAGCACATTATACCAGTGTTCTGGGAGCTGCACTGGCAGTCTGTGGGCATCTGGGTTGAGTTCAAGATGTTTGTTTGAACCATTAAATAACATGGGTCTAGGCTACCCAGCAGACCCCCTCTCTTCTTGCTCCACACTACTGCAGTTACAATCAGTGGAGGCACTCAAGGTGGAGATTCCTTAATATAGAACAGAGAGAGCTGCTGCCCAGGCACTCTCTATGAGGGCCCTTAGATTCTGCAATGCGCCTTCACTCCCAGGGATTTGTTAGCCTTCCAGACCCACTGTAAAACTGTCCATTTTATGTTTATTTTATTGGGGGGGGGGGGGAGAGGCTGAGATGAGGATGTCAGGGAGGAATTTGTTACCTGGGGAATAATGGAATAATGGCAATATGGGATGGGGGTGAATTGTGAGCGTACGGATGGGTGGCTGTGGATTTTAATGGTTCTGTGTAATTGCTGGTTTTGAAAATTGGAAGGGGCACCCAAAAAATGGGATGGCCATGTATATGTGAGAACTCTAACAGCTAGACCTCAGCAGGTGTAAATCAGCACAGCTCCACTGTAGTCAACGGGGCTACGTCACCATGTCACTACATTCACTAATGTTTTCAAAATACCTGGAGCTCTTTGGAAGTGCTAAATATTATATTACTGATCCTTTAGAATGCACCTCAGTCTCCCAAGTACCTCCTAACCTCTGCTCACCCCAAGCTCCAAAACCCAGCTGCTCTGCCTACTTCCTTTTTGCTACCACTATTAAACGGGAACAGAGATCCCCGCAGTGATTCAAAGGCACTGTTGGGGAAATAACCAAGAATGACTTTTCAGGGTATTCTTGCTATTTCGATCCTAATTTTTCCCTGCCTACCACCGATGTACAGTCTACTCCTCATCCTGATAATTATATTTTACATTGGCAGAACAGTTAAATGCATTTCTAAAGGCCAGGTTTTTAACTATAAATTAGACCAAGATTTGTCCAGAGGACGGAGTCCGCAATGCCCTCTTTTAATATTTACCCTCATTATTGAGCCCTGGGCTATGGGGAGCAGATATATGCAATTAATAAGGGAATTATAATGAGAACTAAATTCAGTGGCTCAGCTGTTGGTAGGGTGCTGATCATTACTAGGATTACCCACAAGAGGCTAGATGCTTTCCAAACATAATAAGATGCAGTCCCTGCTCCAAAGAGCTCACAATCTAAAAAAGCAAGCCACACACAAACGGTGAAGGCAGAAATAAAACATATAGTGATTTTTAGTGGTTTGAGCATTGGCCTGCTAAACCCAGAGTTGTGAGTTCAATCCTTGAGGGGGCCACTTAGGGTTCTGGGGCAAAATCAGTACTTGGTCCAGCTAGTGAAGGCAGGGGGCTGGACTCGATAACCTTTCAAGGTCCCTTCCAGTTCTAGGAGATAGCCTATCTCCATTAATTAATTATTTGCTTTGCCCATTTATTTGCCCGTTATTAGTTCACATTCTTGTAGAAGGGATTAGAAGGAGGAGGGGGTTTGGGCCCTCCAGACTCGTTCAGTAAGGGCATTCCATGTGCGGAAGAAAGCATCGATACTGTTTGGAAGAAGCATACAATCTGGCAGTGTGAAGATGGGAAGATGCAATAAGGAATAAGAGCAGATAAGGAAGGAAGGACATAGAAGCTGAAGTTAGTCAAAT